TTTGAGGGGTCACCTTAAAACAAAAAATTTAGTTAGAAAATGAAAAGCTTCCAAAACAAAACTCGAATTTAGCTTTCGACTAAGTTCAGGTTTTTCTTAGTAGTCTTTTTTTTCTTTTTTTTATGAAGTTTTTCTATTCTTTTATCATATATCAGAGTTAAAATACTTGTTATTATACCATTAATAACAGTGGTTTTGCTCAACAAATCTCAATATCAAATATATTTTTTTTTAGATGACATAACGATAAATCTAAATATCAAATGTATTTAGATAATTTAGATGACATAATGCCATCTAAATTATCAAATTGCTTTATAGGCAATTTGTATAAATTATCAATTTTGTTAAAAAGTATATATAAAAAATAGTACTCTTGTTAAAACTTTACTTTTGCTCTTTCATCTAATTATTGGTGATTGCATAACTGCTTTTTTAAAATCTATGTTCAAATGTTAATATAATAGATGATCTTCCTTAAACATTTCTAATAACTCTAATAACTTCTAATAACTAAACATTTCTAATAACACTTCACTATCTATATCGTAAAACTAAACACTTACTGTGTTTGTTTTTTTTTGAGAGTCTTGGTAATCAAAATCAAAACAAAACTTCTAGTATGACAAGTTAAGAAAACTTGCTCTGCAATTAGACATAAAGAAAACATGTTAATAATTTAAACGTCTATAGAGCATAATATTTTATTAATTATAAAACTCTATTGGGTTGACGAAAGACTCTAAACTAAACTAATAGTTTGAAACTCTTCAAAACAGAAGATACATTTATAAACTTGAATTGTTTGCAAAATGTTTTACATTATCTATATATCTTTAACATAGTCCGTTATCCTCAACTGTTATATAAATATATATTATATATAGTTATTGTCAAAAAATATACAGTTATGTTTTAATGTTATCTGAAACCATTTTGAACTTTAGAAACTTACTAGATTATCATGTGCGAATAGTGAAGTTGACAAAAAAGTGTTATAACAAAAAAAACACTGAAAGATCAAAAAAAAAAAGATATTGCTATATTGAAGAGCCGAAACACTTAGATGTTAAAGTGAAATATATATATATATAAATATATATATATATATATATATATATATATATATATATATATATATATATATATATATATATATATATATATATATATATATATATATATATATATATATATATATATATATATATATATATATATATATATATATATATTGAAATATTGTTGTATATATAATTTAATGAAATCCGCTTCCAAGTCCGCCGTTACCAAATGATAAAAAGCAAAAATTTGGAAATAAAAGTACTAATCTTATTATGATATCTGCTAAATATAATTTTCCTACAAAATTTGGCAATTTCATAAAAAATGTGAATAAAAACCATCTGGATAAGTTTGAAAACTATGTGAGCATACCTACAACAATAATTCGATGTGAGAACAACATCAATTTTAAATTTTAATAAACTCAATACAAAATTTACCAAATGTCATATGAAAATCATGTCATATGAAAAATGTCATAAGAAAATCAAGTTTAATTGTTCTTTTTTTTCAACAATAATCTAACTTTATATACGTTTCCAAAAAGAAACACCTTTAAAGAACACAGACATTTGGTACAAAGTTTGGTTTCGTAAAATGCGATTTTCGCATACCAAGTACAAGGGGATATAAATTTTGTATACTTCAAGGCCAAGGGCATTATAATTTACAAGAAAAACATTTATAGATCTTTTTACTTAAGCACATAGTTTTTTTTTCCCATTTCTTTAAATTAAAAACAGATAACCTCATTACGAAGATAAACTTTATCAAAATTTAATTGTTTTTACGAGTAAAAAAAATCTTATACACAAGACTTGTTTTGATAAACTTAATTTATCATTATTTTAAAATTTATTTCCTTGTTTTAATTTAAATCATATTTTTTAACAAAGCGCTTGTTTCTCTTTTTAAAAAGTTGCGAATCAGATTGCATATTTTTGCCTATTCGTAGCCTTTATAGGGTTTTAAAATATTCTTGTGGTGTGAAAAAAACCACTGCTTGAAATGGAAAAAAACTTTACATTACCAAATTGCTTTATAATATGTCCAACAACATCTGTAGAGTAGTTCAAGATCATCTGTACTTTCTTTTCCAAAAACAACCTTTTTTTTTATCTAATAACATCTGTCTATTATCATCTGGAAATTCAATGACCCTTAGCAACATCTTTAGGACGATGTAACTATATCTGGTAATTTTTTTGCAAGTCCAATAATATCAGGAAGAATTTTTTCCAGTGTAACTACATCTGAAAAAAATTTTATATGTAACTACATCTAGTTAAAAAAATGCATTTTAATTTAATATTTTTTTCAAGATGTACTTTATCTGAAAAAAATCATATATGTAACTCTGGTTAAAGTAACATATATATTAATTTAATAATTTCATTAAGTCATGGAGCTATTTTTAATATAATTTAAAAGATGTATTTACATCACTAGTATTTACAGATGTAGTTGTACAGATGTAGTTATTCTTAACATAATCAAAAAGATGTAACTACATCTGTAGTTATTATACATTAATGAAATCTCAGATGTTGTTCGACAGGTGTTATTATACTTCAGTGCATGAGCAAATATTATTGGACAGATGTAGATACACCTCATCATATTTACAGAGGTTTTTGGACAGATGTTATTAAACATAGCAAAAACTGATGTTGTTAACCTGACCCCTTAAAAATTTTATAGATGTTTTGTTGGACAATCTTCCGTCTGACTTTATTTTTCCGTGAATCTTAACAAGTCACTTTTTTTTTAATTTTTTTTTTTTTTTATTTAATTTAGGTGCCCCCAAAAAGTCCTTGCAGCATTATCACAGAGCACCGCAGATAAGCATATATTTGGAAGCTCACGCCTTCTTCCTAACCGACGTCGCAAAACTTGCCCAGAGGTGAAATTTAAACTTCGGATCCTTTGTTTCTTAGGCAAGTGCGTTATCACTGCGCCACGGCTGCTCAAAATTACTTTAGAAAGTTACTTTAGCAAGTTACTTATTTTAGGAACTTACTTACATTACGAAGTTACTTACTTTAGGAAGTTATTTACTTTAGGAAGTTACTTACTCTAGCTAGTTACTTCCTTTAGGGAGCCGTAGCGCAGTGGTTAGCCTAACTGTTTCAGAAGTTAGAGATCTGTGGTTCAACGCCACCTCTAAACAAGTTTTATAACATTGGTAAAAAAGGTGTGAACCTCATTTCAAATGCTCTTCCGCGGTCCTCAAGGATAAGACCTTACATACTTAATAGAGCACCTAAAACAAACCAAAAAATTAAAAAAGTCACTTGGAAAATGGCGTACCAGCTTAGCGCATACAAATATTGGTAATGTTTTTTCTGTTGCTTAAAAATAGCAGGAAACCAGTGTTAATTCAACTTCATAAGCATTTGTAACTATATAGAAAAAAATACGATTATTTATATAAAAGATAAATTTTTAAGTTATACAAAAAAACATTTTTACAATCAAGATGTTTTAAACTTTTGTATTGTTTATTGGTTAATCCTGCGTTAAAAATCCTTGAATTGTTTTTGCTTCAAAAAAATATTTTCGGCTTATAACAACGTTTGTTTTTATATAACATTTGTAGGGTATACTCAATCAACCCACCTAGGCAACATTTGACTGGCAACTGAAATAAAACATTATTTCAAATATCTAATCTTTTATTTAAATTTTTTAATTAGAAGCCTTAAAAATATGTTACAAAAAAAAATTAACAAAAATGTGGTAATAGAAGCAATTTTTGATATTTATTATTAATTAGTATTCTCCAATATTCGCTGTCTGAGCAATCCGCTATATATTTTAATGTTACAAAATTTGCACTGAAAAGAATAAAAAGTATAATGAAAATGTTTACAAGGTTATTTTAAAAGATTTCCAAGCATTTTAGTCTCTGGAAATAGTAAATTCAAAGCAAAGCCATTGTTTACTGCTGATAAAGTAATTAGGTTAAAAAATGACAGAAATAAATTACAGACTAACTTATAAAAGCATATGCAAGCTTGGTTTTGATAGATATTTGATACTAATTGAAGTTTTCCGCCGTAATAGGAAAATGGATTTGGAGGCGAACAAAATATTTGAGGTTTAACGGCACGACACAAAATTTTGTTTCTGAGAATACAAGCCTGAGGAGAAGCAGGTTTTAATATACATAAAGTAGGTCAATTTTTTGAAAATTATAATTTATTTTTTTTTAACTCCATCATGGTGAAAAAGTCTTAAAAACTGTAAAAGTTGTATCGGTATGTGGGAAGAAACAAGTTTCACAGATAGATTCATCAGGACGTGGTAAATAAGTAATATTGTTTGCATTATAAAATTATTATGTATTTGGAAAGTTTCTTGTTTCGGTGTACGTTGTTTATTAGAATTCATATCTTGAATAGTTTAATGATAGGAATTCTGACATCTAACATTACTCTCAATAATAGTGGAGGATGGATAACCTTAGTATAATTTCCTTCTGTGCTTCAACACATAGTTAATCGCATCAACTGTACCAACTATAAAGTAAAACTACATTTATTAGACAACCACAAACTTCATTTGTTCATAGGAGTATGTTTCAAAAGCTTTTTTGCCATATCACATATACATATTTTATACAGACTCTTGATGTTTTCTTTTAAATAATCAAAATGTACATTTAATGACTGGCTTAAATCAAATACATGAAATCGTTAATATAAAAAATGTTCGACAACTAACAAAATTTCCATTTCTTGTTTAATATAAAACTATAAACTCTAAAAATAAGTTAAAATTCTAAATGAAAAACAACATTATGTATTTATTTAATTTATTTTCTTATTTTAACAGATCAGCATTTTTTAGCATGTATTTATATGCTAAAAGAAGTTGTTTATATTATTATAACAAAATAAATAAAATTATCACTAAAAAGCAGCATAACTTACTTTCATTAGCAAATTAGTATGCTTTAAAAATGCAGGAAAATAATTTTTCAGCTGTTGTGAAGTAAATGCTCCATTGAATAACTTTCTTTGCCAATGATGGTCTTCGTAATTTGAACCAAGCATGCTGTTTCCAATTAATGGTGCCAAGATTTTTAATGTAGTAGGCCTTTGAAAAAGTTTCCCATCTGCAAATATCTTTTTAATGAATTCTGGAGCAATTAGATAAACATACCTGGGCACTGTAAGTAAATTAATAAAAAAAGATATTTAAAAAAGGGTTAGTTTTTAAATATATTTTATTATATATCTTTTAAAAATCTCTGATCTTTAAAATAAAGAATAAATTTTTGACGGTCATAGCTTTTCCCACATTCTGTTAAATCAGTTAAATCAGTTAAATTATTGTTTTTGCTAAAACATTGCATAAACTATTGTTCTTGTTAAAACATTGCATTCATTACAACATGCAACATTGCATTCTAGTATAAAAACGAAAACTTTTAGAACACATGTTTAAGTACAGAAGTACACACAGTATTATTTGCTAAATATCAGTTAGAATAATCAGTAAAAATAGTTTAATGTTAACAACTTAAATACTCATAAATATCGCTACATAAAAGAACACGCAGAAGATGAAGACATAATAGTCTAAATGTTTTCTATGATGTAAAAAGATAATGAACCAAATGTTAAAATTGTTGCAGAACATTTACTGCAGTTTTTTTTTAAATAATAAATACACTGAAAAAAGAGGTTGTCAGTTTTCATCTATGATATTTTCTATGATAACCATATTCTGAGAAAAAATTACATGATTTTATAATTGATTTTGATTTTCTAAATCACATACCTTAGATAATAATAAGGTCTTGAATTCCATTTTACAATCGTAATTTAGTTTAGAAAAAAAATTGCAAGTAAGTTCATTGTGTTCTAATAAGACTAGTATTTTTAACATAACAAATCTAGCTTCTTATAATCATTCCTGTCATATTTCTTACTTTTAATAACTCGACCGTTCGGCGTAATTTTTAAAATTAAATCATAGAAGTAACTAGACAACTTATTATTTTACTTGTAGTTAGTATTAGGTGATGTTAATAAGGAAGTAAACAATGAGTTCATAAAATACTTAAGAATTAGGTTTGATACACTAAACTGGAACAATATATGTCAAACATTTAATGACTCTCTTTTTAGAACCGGTGTTTACTGCCTTGGTGTCACATATTAGAACGAAAATTTTAATTAATAAATTAAATTTAAAAATAACTTTTCATTACATGTTATAAATAGAGATAGATTAGCTTTTTCCTAATTATTACAATGAATCAACCAAAGATTTAGACTTGATTGAAATGCTAGTGCTTTAACAATGGTGTTTGTCTATGGTCTTACCATCAAAACGTAAGCTCCGCATTTCTTCCGAATAATATAATATATAAGATCAAATCAATTTTATTTTCTATCCAAGTCTTGCTGATTGTTTTTTGAACTGCGGATCTGATAGTTGATGCTTTAGCAACAGAGTTAGTATAGCTTTGACAATCTTTGTATTTTCTATCCAAGTCTTGCTGATTGTTTTTTGAACTGCGGATCTGATAGTTGATGCTTTAGCAACAGAGTTAGCATAGCTTTGACAATCTTTGTATTTTCTATCCAAGTCTTGCTGATTGTTTTTTGAACTGCGGATCTGATAGTTGATGCTTTAGCAACAGAGTTAGTATAGCTTTGACAATCTTTTTATTTTCTATCCAAGTCTTGCTGATTGTTTTTTGAACTGCGGATCTGATAGTTGATGCTTTAGCAACAGAGTTAGTATAGCTTTGACAATCTTTGTATTTTCTATCCAAGTCTTGCTGATTGTTTTTTGAACTGCGGATCTGATAGTTGATGCTTTAGCAACAGAGTTAGTATAGCTTTGACAATCTTTGTATTTTCTATCCAAGTCTTGCTGATTGTTTTTTGAACTGCGGATCTGATAGTTGATGCTTTAGCAACAGAGTTAGTATAGCTTTGACAATCTTTTTATTTTCTATCCAAGTCTTGCTGATTGTTTTTTGAACTGCGGATCTGATAGTTGATGCTTTAGCAACAGAGTTAGTATAGCTTTGACAATCTTTGTATTTTCTATCCAAGTCTTGCTGATTGTTTTTTGAACTGCGGATCTGATAGTTGATGCTTTAGCAACAGAGTTAGTATAGCTTTGACAATCTTTGTATTTTCTATCCAAGTCTTGCTGATTGTTTTTTGAACTGCGGATCTGATAGTTGATGCTTTAGCAACAGAGTTAGTATAGCTTTGACAATCTTTGTATTTTCTATCCAAGTCTTGCTGATTGTTTTTTGAACTGCGGATCTGATAGTTGATGCTTTAGCAACAGAGTTAGTATAGCTTTGACAATCTTTTTATTTTCTATCCAAGTCTTGCTGATTGTTTTTTGAACTGTGGATCTGATAGTTGATGCTTTAACAACAGAGTTAGTATAGCTTTGACAATCTTTGTATTTTCTATCCAAGTTTTGCTGATTGTTTTTTGAACTGCGGATCTGATAGTTGATGCTTTAGCAACAGAGTTAGTATAGCTTTGACAATCTTTGTATTTTCTATCCAAGTCTTGCTGATTGTTTTTTGAACTGCGGATCTGATAGTTGATGCTTTAACAACAGAGTTAGTATAGCTTTGACAATCTTTGTATTTTCTATCCAAGTTTTGCTGATTGTTTTTTGAACTGCGGATCTGATAGTTGATGCTTTAGCAACAGAGTTAGTATAGCTTTGACAATCTTTGTATTTTCTATACAAGTCTTGCTGATTGTTTTTTGAACTGCGGATCTGATAGTTGATGCTTTAGCAACAGAGTTAGTATAGCTTTGACAATCTTTGTATTTTCTATCCAAGTCTTGTGGATTGTTTTTTGAACTGCGGATCTGATAGTTGATGCTTTAGCAACAGAGTTAGTATAGCTTTGACAATCTTTGTATTTTCTATACAAGTCTTGCTAATTGTTTTTGAACTGTGGATCTGATAGTTGATGCTTTAGCAACAGCGTAAGTATAGCTTTGACAATCTTCAAACTTATTAGATACCTTCCATTTTCAGCTATTTTAGCTATCATCTTACTGGTGATTGCTGTACGTTTCGATGGAATGATGTAATCATCGATCATGCTATTTCCATCTGAACTTTCATTGCTAAAATTGTATTGTATCATCAAAGAATTGACTATAATTTATTTTAAGTCCGTCTTTTAGAAGTGACAGGTTTTGTGGATGGGATGCAGTAGGCTTCGTAACAAAACTGCAATAATCCTTGTACCCATTGGAAGAGTTAGGATGTTAATCAATAAGTTTGTCTTACAGATTTTTAAATATAGCGTTTTCGGGCATTAAGTCAAATAATTAAACTCATCCATTTATAATACTTGTCTTCTTATTTACTTTTTGTATTGATTTAAACACAAACTTATAAATTTGAATTACAGAGTTTGTTTTTCTTTTTACATATTTCTTTAGTATTATGGTTTTATCATTATATTTCATAGTTGACAAACTTTATTGGGTTTTTTTTTATAACATCTTTTGATCTTGGATTATTATCCAATTCTAATAGAAAACAATATCTTTCTAATATTACTTTGTCTAAAATAATTTGGAAAAATCCATTTGTGGATCAAATTAATTTTCATACAATTCTTGGCTTTTAACTTTTAGGATTTAAAATATTAGAAGGACAATCAATATCTTTAATTAAATAATTCTCTGATATTTTATACATCTAAAATATAGTTTATATTTAAATATATACAATATATATAATAGTCAAGCAATATGAACTATTTTAGCAAATTTTCTAACTTTTGAGGAAACTTTAAAATTGATTTCTGCTGAAAAAGTTATTGGGTCTTATATTGCAATAAGAAAGTCTATCATGACAATCACGGACCAACTCAAAAGACAAAAACGGTGCAAAGAACGTTTGCATTGGGCAGTTAAAGATTGGTTAAAAGTGATTTGGTGCAATGAGTCAAACTTTCAGGTCGTGAACCGCAAAGGAAGAATATGCGTTGAAAGATTTGCAACTGAGAAGTATTACGAGCGCTATTTAAAATAAAGACGACAAGGTGGCGGAGGCTCAGTATAAATAAAGGGATAATAATTCTACAAAGGCGTTTGGTCTTTATGAGCTGTATTAGAGCCTTATCAACCAATGTACCTACAAAAACACACTTAAAATACTTTTGATTCCATCAAAGAGGCAATTGTATGGCAGAAGCTACCAATACATCTTCCAGCAAGACAGGGCTTCAGCACACACAACAGATAGTATAACAAACTGGTTCATCACAAAGAAAATTAATTTGTTGCCTTGGTGCCCTTGATCACCAGATATCAACCCAATATAAAATATTTGGTCATAGATCAACACATGGATCAACACTGGTAAACCATCAAATTCAATCAACTGAGGGTTTGAAGTAATTTCTGAAGTATGCTGGTTAAAGGTATCACATGCGATGTGCATATTGGTCGAATCAATGGTATCACATGAGATGTGCATATTGGTCGAATCAATGTAAAGACGAGCTTTTCTTTGCTATCGAGCCAAAGGAGGAAACTTTTGATTTTAAACATGTACTTTTTTTCAATTTTTTGTTTTCTAAAAAATAACTCGATTAAATTTATGCAACTCATTTTTTTTAATTATTCTGAATTATTTCTTTTAACTATCTTATCTTATTAATTTTAACTGTATAGCTAGTAGATAATTATTTTCAAAATAAAAGAATAATTTCTAATTTATTTTTAGTTGAAAAAACCCTCAAAGTTAATTTAAAATTACCCCCTTAATTAAACTTTTGTGCATAGCTGTATTGTAAATTCTTAAGTAAAAACTTCACGTCGTGAAAAAATACTTTTTTGGTTTTAAATTATTCATAATGCTTTATTTATGTTTAAAACATGATGTAAGTTAATGAGTTACGTGTGTTTGCTAAATTATCTGGCTTGATCGATTTATATATATATATATATATTTTTTATTTACAAGTGTAAAAATCAACCTGCCAAGAGAGTATGTAAATTTAGTAAAAAAATTTTTGTTACACTTGTGTAAAACAACACTTTATCACATAAAAAAAATCGCGGTCTGTACCATAATGATTTTATGTGATAAAGTGCTGTTTCAGCGTAAATGTAACAAAAATTGTATAACTGATACCTCCTGTAGAGACTACAT